ATTCTTGTGTTTTGTCCTCAGACGACTAAGATCTAATGATGCATTTCTATTTTTATGAAAATATAATCTGTAAAACACATATTTCTGCATCATGTTCAATTTAAAATTGAAATACATATAAACATTTCTATAGTGCAAAGATAAACATATACTCCTTCTGTTTCTAAAGCAAAACACACATTTCCCCATTCTAATGGGTTTTGGACTTCAAAGAGAACCTGTCAGTAGTCACTGCAAAAAACTTTAAAAACTCTACTTCCCCATTACATTTATGCATGTATCTTAAAACAATTTTTACTGTTTAAGTAAAGAACTTCAAAAAACAGTTAGACCATCTCCTGAACCTGTCTTTCCTCACTCGCCCCCCCCCTTTTTTTTCTTTTCTTTTAGTTGGAGATGGGGGGTGAGGAGGAAAAGGGTTGTCGTGTTGTCTCTCCGCTGTCGGCGTTCATGCACTGAAATTGGACTGTTAGGTTAGTTGCTACATGAATTAAAAGGCTTTACAAAAAATGAAGAATAGTTCTTAGTTTTGCTGCTTTGCTTTGGTTGTTGTTGACTTTGAGCTTGGTGTCCTGTGTAAGGACAAGTTCCGTTCTGCTGTTCCCCCAGCATGAGTTATCTGCTTTGTTATATAATTTGCCTGTGATGTCTACCTGGGCAGGTGTGGCCAGCACCGCCCACCTGGGAGGTCTTCAGTCCTTCCCCTGTTATGTGAGTGGTATTTCTTCTGTGCTGGCGTGTTGTATCTCAGGGGTCTTTCCTAAATGAGTTTGGGGGCTTACTTTGTCATCTTCTTTTTCACTTTTTCTCTCAAATGCCTTTGGAGGGCTGCCAACTAATAATGAGGTACCAATTAATTTAAGTTTATACAAGATGCTTGCTTCAGGGGCGAAATTCTTGTTTATCAGTGCCTTTCTTCTCACAGTCTGGCAGGAGAAGAACAAACTCTCACAAGTGGCTGGGCCAAACACAGACCAAAGCAGCAGCATCTAATTAAGCAGAAATACATTTCATCGCATGGTCTGTGTTTGGACAGTGCCACTGTTGAACAACTTAAACAGCACATTGATGAAAAATAAGGAAAACAAGGAAAACAACATAAAATGTTCATAACGAGTGAGTTAACAGTAAAAGTTGAGACAATAGTATCTTTGTAATTTTATCTATCTTTAGTGAAGAGATCTGAATGGGTTCCAGCTGTTTCTGCCTCATTGGGTTAGCTAGGATCATCTGCGTGCTATGCTGTGGTTATGGGTAGTTAATAGGACTTGAGACAATTTTTTTTCTAGTTAACATACAGGGGGTCAGTGTTTCACCTTTGAACATAAACTTAGTTCCCAAGTTGGAACAGATGAATAGGAGTGCTCAATCTCACGGGTCTGGATAACACGATGAATCTAGACTATTAAACAGTTTTTACAAAAGAACTTCAAATTTCAGAATTTTTGTAATTTGGCTGTATAAGAGGAATTCAGCTTTTATAGTATGAAGTGGTTGACCGCCAGTTACCAATAAAAGGCTGCAGAGAATCGTGTAGGACAAAGCAGGTAGTGCACTATAACCAGGCACCAGGCACTGTCACTGTGTTAAATGTTCAGAGCCCATGTGCTGTGAAGAACCCAAGAGCATTCACTGAACACATACAGAGTAGGAGCAGGCCAACTGAAAGACTTATTTCTTATGTTCATGTGGCTGCCATTAACATGATAATAAATGCTCCATATTTAAGTATAACATAAGAGCATGAAGAAAAGTATCCAGGACATGATCAAAATTCACTTAACTAGGGTATTCAGTAAAGCAAGGCACAAGTTAGACAAAGCATTTAAACAACTTGAACAAATCATCACGCTATAATGTTACCAGTCTATCAGAAGATTGTAGGTATGATACGAGCTAGGACCCGGGGGGGAAGGGGGGTGTCCAAAAAACATCAGCCTTTCATTTGCAGTCCAGCCACTTTCTTGCTTTCTAACACACAGCTCTTCTTCTGTGAGGCTCAGCACCTCACACATTGTTATTTCATGATCACATAGAATCTTGTGTGGACTCGTAAACCAAAAGGTCTCTTTCATATGCTGCAGCCCTCAGAGAGGAGAGAGGGATATTCTAAACAATTCTTGACCAGCTGCTGTAAAACTACTGGGACAAAACATATACAAACATGAGCACTGCAAAACAATCAGTGCAACAAAACAATACCAATTTTCACGAAAGGCAACAGAAATATAATAATTAATAATCATAGTATTGTCTGGTATTTTGACAGTATTATCTGAACTATACTAGCTGTCCATTTTTTTGGAGTCTTTCTAGTTTGGATACTATGAAGGAAGTTCACTGAAGATATCTCTAAAGCCAGTGAGACATCTTCAAAAGTCACCTGATTTAGAATTTTGAGTTTGTTTTCAAATTTCAGCCAAATTCATAATACAAATTCAATTATATTATGACCTTCTTTATTAGAGCCAAATGTAAGTTTGATTCCAACTCTGATTCTTGCTTACCAGCAACACAAACAATACATACAGAAAGAATAAGTTAAAATGGGCTAATGCATGGCTGTGGTTGCTGCCTTGATTAATGCAAAGATGACAAAAGCAATTAGAACAGTTTCCCCAATTTACTGTATCTTGCATCATCCTCCCAGCCCCTGGCCAAGCTCACTGGGAACCACAGTTTGGCTCCTCTGCTCAGGAAAACCACCAATGACAGATTGAGAATGGATACATTTTGATTTGTGATACAACCAAACGAATAAGAATCACCTGAAGTGATATTAAAGGCATTGTCAGTCACACTAATCACAACATCAGGCACGGCCACAAAGGCATATAAGTGACAGATATACATCATGACTGAGTTATTATACCAGTTAGTAAGAATGACTAGACACAATGAATTATCTCTATGATATTTTCTTCCATGTGACATTTGGGCAGACCTTGCGCTGCTCAGTATTCACTGGTCTCCTTCTGGGATTCTTAATAGACAGTTTCTGCATCTGCATCTGTGGGAAGGGCTGGGCCTAGTGGAAGGGCTGGGTGTGGACATGTTGGCATGGCCAGGGCTTGTGGGGAGGTGTTGCCCTGCCAAGCCAAGCGCTGGCAATTCCCCACCAGAACTGGTGCAGCCAAGCCAAGATGACTGACTGCAGTCTTGGGGGGACTGTGACAGGATGTTCTATCCCAATAAGGCCTAGAATCTGATCAGAGAATGCAAACAGTACAAGCTCTCATGCAAGTTCTACTGCTGGCACCAGGGTGCTGTTTTGGTGTTGAATTGTGCTAAAACCATCCTGGTTCACCAAACCTCAAACACATATCCTGCTTTTTGAAGCAGGATTTGACAGATAAGCTGCTCACTGGCCTGTAAATCTGTGACTGCCAGTCCATCACTTTATACCTATAAAAGCCCAGTCCAATTTTCATATGGCAGAGTCTTCCACAGACTTCCTTGAACTGTGGAGCTCCTCCCCTGAAGCAGGGACACCTCTTCATGGTCACTCCCCAGGGATTAAGAGAGAGATGTGCCCACTGTCTCGTGTGGTGAGTTACATCAATCTCTATTTAATGATTGTTTCTTTTGACAGCTTTAATACAATTGCTTTAATATAATTGCTTTGATAGAGTGCACTATACTACTCTCTGCTATATTATACCCTACTAGTAGGTTTTTAGCTTTCACACTCTGTAGTAAATAATTCTGATTAAGATCTTTCATCTGTTTATTTGTGTGTTCATTTCTCATAATAAATAATTCATTTTATATAAATGTATTTCTTGACTGTGTTAACAGTTTCATTAATTTCCTGTATCCTGCATCATCCTGCTAGGCTCTGGCTTGGTTCACTGGGAGCCACAGTTCAGCTCCTCTGCACATGGGAATTACTGATGATAAACTGAGAGTGGATATATTTTGATTCATGATATAACTAAAATATTGATCATTTACAGTGATGTTAAAGGGATTGGTAGTAACACTAATCACAACGTCAGGTGTGGCCGAGAAGGCAAATGAGTGAGAGACACACACCATGACTGAGTCATTATGCCAGTTAGTGTTCATGATACAATGAAATATCCCTAGAATATTGTCTTCCATGTGACATCTGGGCAGGGCTTGTGCAGCTCAGCATTCATCAATCTCCTCCTGGGATTCTTCAGGGACAGGCTCTGCATTTGCAGGATTGGATTGTGTGTCGGGCCCACTCACATCAGCATTTCATCAAATGTGTTGGAAGCCAGCAGGGTCCTGTGGGAGACAAAACACAAGCATATCCCTTCCTCATGCTAACAACTCGATGGGACCTTATCATTAGGTATGTTCTTGTGGGGTTTTGTACAATACTTATTGATCTAAATTCAAAAAATTCAGGGTAAATACAGCTTTATCTACTTGGGGTGTCATATTCCCCCTTTTTTGTTTTAAGACTATGGTTTTTAATACAGAGGACACATTTCTTGCACCTGGGATAGGCTCAGGTGATAAGATTATATTTACGATTTTACAGGTTTTTCTTTCTTTCTTTTTTCTTTCCTTTTTTTTTTTTTGTTTGTTTTGGGGATTTCTTTTTTCTTTCTTTTTTCTCTTTTTTGCTTTTTTCTCTTCTTTTTTTCTCTTTTTTTTTTCTTTGCTACATTGTTTTATATCAGTTGTATTTTCAAGGAATATTTAAACACATATCAAAACAATCTCCATGTACATATTTTAAGAGAAAAAATAATCTGGCATTGTTCTAGGTTTGTGAGGATTTCCAAAATCACAAACACTGAGAAACAAAGAGTATAAGCAAAGCAACTTTATCCTATTACTTGTGATAGCAATTAATACATATCGACCCCTGAATTTCTGGAAAGCCACTGAGCAGGAGAAGATGGAGCATGGCAGGAGGGGCAGGCAGGCCACGCACCTTCAGGGCATCCCCTGGATCAAAGCAGTGTGTGTCTCAGCCTCCTCCCCCATCCAACCCAGAACCACCTCTTATATCCCCCTCACAGGAGTGCACTTCGACAGCGATTTTGGGGCACTTTGTGGGAGACATCCCCTTTGGGAGACCCAGGCCAGGCACTGGAACAGCCAACCGGAATTGCTGGAGGAGGGACAGGTTCAGGTGGACACGTTTTGCCCGCACAACTGCGAGGTGTCCACCCCAGTCCTCGTGAGCCGCAGAGGTGAGCACGGGGCAGAGCGTGTCCCCTCGGCCCCTGCCCCGGGAATGACGCTGGAGCCCCTCAAAACCTCCCTGGGAATCACCCAGACCCCTCCATCCTTGTGGTCTCTCACCCCATCCTCAGACCTCTCCTCTCTCTTCTAGCGACCCCTGAGTCTCTCCCATTGTCTCCTCTGTCTCTGCCAGTGCCCCCCAGCGTGTCCATCTCGCTGGTGCCATCGAGCTCCCAGCCCGGCCCCGGCCGCCTGCTCTGCTCCGTGATGGATTTCTACCCTGCGCCGGTGCAGGTGAGGTGGTTCCAGGATGGGCAGGAGCTGCCGGAGCACGTGGTGGCCTCCGACGTGGTCCCCAACGGGGACTGGAGCTGCCAGGTGCTGGTGATGCTGGAAATCCTCCCCCGGCGCGGGGTCACCTACAGCTGCCAGGTGGAGCACGTCAGCCTGGAGCACCCCCTCGGCCGGTACTGGGATATGGCTGGAAAGCTGGGAGGGGGTTTGGGGGTTCTGGGGGTAACTGGGAAGGGGTTTGGAGGAGGTTTGGGGCAATTGGTACAGAGTTTGGGGGGTCCTGGAGGCAACTGAGAGGGAGTTTGTGGGTCCTGGGGGTACCTGGGAGGGAGTTGAGGGGAGCCAGGTGGGGGACTAGGGAAGTGATTTGAGCAAATGGGGAGGATAAGAAAGGGGTTTGGGGGCTCCTGGGCAGTCCGTGAGGGACTGGGGGAGGGTTTGGGGACTTCTCAGGGGACCAGGGACAACAGGGAGAGTGGTTGGATGGTGCTGGAGGGCCTGGGAGGTGGTTTGGAGATTCCTAGGGGAGCTGTGTAGGGACTTAGAAGAGGTTTCAGGAGTCCTGGGTGGGCTGGAGGCAACTAGGAGGAAATTTAGGAGGTCATGGGCGGGGTGTCTGTGAGATGTTTTGGGGGCTCCTGACCCCCCTGGGTCCCCCAGAGATGCTGCTGGACACCACCCATAGCAAGATGCTGACGGGGGTCAGGGGCTTCGTGCTGGCCTTTGTCTTCCTGGCTCTGGGGCTCAGCTCCTACCTGCACCAGAAGGTGAGGAGGGTCCCCAGGGGTCATGTCCTCCTCTCCCTGGAGTGTGTGTGCCCCCCCAGGGAACCCCCCAACCCTGGTGTCACCCCCTTTTCTCTCTGCCCAGAGATCCTGAGCCAGCGGTGGCCACAGTCCCTCCCCATGGCCTCGGACTCAGACTGGACACCCTCTGTTCCCCTGCTGATTTTGGGGGGTGTCATGTGTATCCCTGTCCCCTGCTGTCACTCTGCCCCTGCCCAGCTATTCCCAGTGTTCCCAGTAAAGCTTCCAAGCTCTTCCCAGTCCCAGTTATTGGGGGGATATTGGGGGGGCCTTGGGGCAAACAAATAATGCCAATATCACCACGGGAGTCTCCTCTAGACCTCCCAGCCAGGGCAATGACACCAATGGACTATTCTTTGAGGAGCCATAGGACACTTCCAAGTCAACTGCCCTTGTCCTCATGGAGGACTTCAACTTGCCAGAAATTAATTGGGAGCATCACACAGATGATACAACCCAGGCCAGAAGATTCCTTAAAAAACCTGGATGACAATTTTATGGAACAGGTTCTAGAGGAGCTGACTTGGAAAGATGCCCTCCTTGATCTGCTGCTTGTCCACAGAGAGGATCTTGTGAGCAAAGTGGAGATTGGGGCCATCTTGGCCACAGTGACCTCAAAGTGATCAAGTTAAAAATCTCTGTTGACAGAAGAAAAAGTGCCAGCAAAACCTCAGCTCTTGCCATGAGGAGAACAGACTTCAGGCTGCTCTGGGAATTAGGAAGGTGCCCTGGGAAAATGCTTTTGCAGGTGCTGGGGTCCATCACTGCTGGTTACTTCTCAAACATCACCTCCTAAGGGCACAGGAGCAGCAATTCCCAAATGCTGGAAGTCAAGCAGGTGAGACAGAAGGCGGCTTGGCTGAGCAGGGATATTGTCTTGGAGATAAGGCAAAAAAGGAAGGGGTGTGCCCAATGGAAGCAAAGTCAGGTGACATGGGAAGAATTCAGAGATGCTGCTTGGCACTGTAGGGAGAAAAACCATTGTGCTGGTTTAAAGGTAAACCAACAGGGGAAATGAACTCAACTCAAAAGAGAGATTATAAGTCAAAATAACAATTTAATAAAATAATACAATAAGTACGATTATACAGACAAACAATTGGTTTTAACCCACAAACCCCAAATTTATAACCCAGCACCCTGGGGCATGAACAGAGTGGTGTTCTTTGGGCCTCCTGAGTCCAAAGTAAAAGGAGAGGGGAAAACCTGTTGGTGAGAGTGGTGATTGCAGTCCGGTTGAGAGTGGTGGTTGCAGTCCAGTCAAGGGCGGTAGTCTGCAGTTTGGTTTAGAGCCGTGATCTGCAGTCTGGTTGAGAGTGGTGATCTGCAGTCTTCCTCTGGATCCCATGAGTGGTTCCAAAAGTTCCAAGACTCTAAGATTATATATTCTCCAGTTCAGGAAGGAATGCTCAGTACTTCCCTCAGGACGGGGAGTTCCACAAAAGAGTGTGAGGACAGGGAGGCACCCTCCTTTCTCGCAGGCCTCTTAACACCCAGTTTATAGCCTGAGGAGTCAGGCTGCTCTGGGCAGAAGGTGTAAATAGTCTATTGATACCAGTTTCTGGGAAATGGCATGGAAGGCTATAGAATACACAGTTCTGGGTTACACCCACACAGTGATGAACTGGTCCCAGCTGTTCTAACTAGGACAACCATGTGGCCAAATCTCCCATCCCCTTCAAACCACCAGGAGCCCACTCACTCCCCCTGTGCTCACCACCCCTTGCACAAGCCCCAGAAGGACTCATGCCAGAGCCAAGGCCTGCAGGGCACACACACAGGGCCTTGCCTGGGGCTGGCACACAGGGAGCTGACACTGCTTTGGGGCAGTGGGGACGGGAGCCTCAGGGATGTGGTCCTGCAAAGACAGGGGCCCAGGCAGCTGGGGCTGGTCTTGCAGGGGCAGAACCCCCTCCCTGGGGTGGCCTTTCTGACCCGGCTCTGGGCTGACCCAGCCTCCCCCTGCACACTCCCCCACAGCACAGGCCTCACTGGGGCATTTGCTGCTGGGGCCCTGCAGAGCTCCCCATGGGAACACCTCCCTTGTGAGCTCCGGGATGATCCTCTCTGCCCAGGAGTGGCCCCTGGCAACCAAAGAACCAAAGCCCCAGCCCCACACTGCAGCCCCACCCGTGTGCAATGGGCCTCCAGGGCTTCCCTTGACAAAGCACCCCCTCCAAACTCTTGCCAGATGGAAAATGGGGGGACACCATGCTAAAAATAGATCGTCTCGCTCCTGCTGCTTCCCTGTTCCTCTGTCCCCTCTGTTCCTCTGTCTGCTGGTTTGTTCACCTGACATTGTGGTCCTACAAGCTCCTGTGTCTGCTTGGGTGCTGTTGGCTGTGCCAGCCCACACCACTGACTTTGACCCAAAGAATCCAAAGCCTTGTCACATTCCTACTGCTTTACTTCCCATGGAAGGGAAGTGCCTCTTGGGAGTGTTGGCACCAAAATCTTGCTCTTGAGGGGGTGCAGGGACACAGGGGACATGAGGCTTTAAAGGGCTGGGCTGGATGGTGTGCAGGGGTGGGTGGCAGCAGTGGCATTTCCTCATGGTGGCCTTGGCACAGCAACAAGGGCCAAGGAGCCACATGTGTCACCGGGAAGGGCAATTGATGTCCCTATGGGTCCCAACACTCCCCAGACTTTCTCCAGCCCTCCAGGAGACACTGGGGACATGGGAGACATGGGGGAAGTGTGGATCGTGGAGATGGGGAGTCCTGGCAGATCTCCAAGAGGATACAGGGGCAAAAAGGGGGCTAGGAGGATCCCCATTGGAGGACCTGGAACTGAGGGGGCCTGCTGGGTCCCCATGAGGATAAAAGGACAAATGGGGCTGGGGAGTCCCAAGTGGAGGACATGGAATTTGGCTGTTGACTTGGAAGTACCCCTTAGTTCCTCAAAGAATAATTCATTGGTGTCATTGTCCTGGCTGGGAGGTCTGTACCAGACTCCCATGGTGACATCGGCATTATTTGTTTGCTCTTTGATTCTTACCCAGAGGCTCCCAACTGTGCCACTGCCAACTGTGAGCTCCACACATTCTAACCCTTCCATTACATACAGTGCCACCCCTCTGCCTCTCCTGCCCTGCTCATCCCTCCTGAAGAGCCTGTAACCATCCAACAGGGCACTCCAGTCATAGGGCTCATCCCACCAGGGTTCTACTTATGCCTCTGAGACTGGGCTAAACCTTCAAGTTCCTCTTTGTTCCTCATGCTGGTGCATTGGTGTAGAAACATTTTAGGTGTGGTCCATTGCAACCAGTACTCGTGAATTGGATTGAGGGATCCCATTAGTGCTCATTTTCTCAAGTTTTGGCACTACATCGCTCATCACTGGTGAGCCTGGTTTTGTTCCTTCCCCCTTTCAAGCCAGTTGAAAGCTCAGTCAACAATCCCTCTGGCTCCTGTGCTAGAACTCTTTCTCCCCTCTGAGACTGGTGCATCCCATCAGGTATCAGCAGACCAGGTTTTGAGTCGATCAACCCATGGTCAAAAAAACTAAAATTTTTCTGATTACACCAATCTCGGAGACACTCGTTGACCTGATGGATCTGCCTATTCCTATCAGTATTATTCCTTGTTATCAGAAGAATAGAGGAAATCACCCCCTGTGCTCCTCATCTCTCCAGACAAAACACAGGAGGCCTCACAAACACCCTGAAAGGCCTTTCCAAAACCTTGGCCCAAGGTCTCAGAGCCAGTAGGAAAAAAGAGAAATTGGCTCAGGGCAGGAAGGGGACAGTGCTGAATGTGTCTGAATTTCAGCTCCCTCCCAGTGCCACTGAGGAAAGGAGAGGGCTGTGGGTGTAAGGCCCAGCAGCAGAAAGTCCCTCATCATGGTCCCTTTCAGACAGATGTAGGAGAACAAGGTGTTTTCATGCCCCATCCCAGTTCAAGGCTTGCAGGGTAAAGGAGGCAGCACTGGCAGAGCCTGATTTGCCCCCAGTGGGCAGATGAGTGAGCAGACATGTGGCAGCTGCTCAGAATAACCACCCTGAAGCAAAACAGACACAGACAGGAAAGGAAACACACACCTCAGGTCTGGAGATGAGAGCCCCCTCAGCATGTTGGAGGATGATCCCAGACTGGCAGGTGTGGCTCATATGCTGGGGGGTCCTGCTGCCATCCAGATGGGCCTGAACAGGCTGGAGAAAAAGGGGCTGACAGGAACCTCTGCAAGGTCAGCAAGGAGAAGTGCAAATTCCTGTAGGTGGGGAGGAACAAGGCCAGGCATCAGCACATGCTGGGGGACACCCAGTTGCAAAACATCTGGGCAGAAAAGGACCTGAGGGCTCTGCTGGGCTCCAAGCTGAGGAACCTGCTCTTCCCACAAAGGGATAGTGGTATCCCAGGCAATACTGGAGGAGTGAGGCCACAGGTTGAGACAGGGGATCTTTGCCTTCTGCTCAGCACTGGAGAGGCCACAGCTGCTGTTTGAGGCTCCCCAGGACGAAAGAGATACAGACAGACTGGAGAGAGTCCAGGGAATTCCCACACAGATGACTTAGGGACTGGAGGATTTCTCCGATGAAGTGATGCCTTAAAATCTATATCATTGTGCTGGTTTAAAAGTTAACCAGCAGGGGAAATGAACTCAACTCAAAAGAGAGATTATAAGTCAGAATAACAATTTAATAAAATAATACAATAAGTACAGTTATACTGACAAACAATTGGTCTTAAACCACAAAACCCAAATGTATAACCCAGCACCCTGGGGCATAAACAAAGTGGTGTTCCTTGCTCCCCCCCCGCCCCGAGTCCAAAGTAAAGGGAGAGGGGAAAAACCTGCTGGTGGGAGAGCTGTTGCAGTCTGGCTGAGAGCGGTGAGCTGCAGTCTGGCTGAGAGCAGTGAGCTGCAGTCTGGCTGAGAGCAGTGAGCTGCAGTCTTCCTCTGGATCCCACGAGTGGTGGTAAGGTTCCCAAACTCCAGGTTTATATATTCTCCAGCTCAGGCAGGAATGCTCAGTCCTCCCCTCAGAGCGGGTAATTCCATAAAAGGGCATGAGGACAGGAACATCCCCCCACCTCACAGGCCTCTACTGAGAACAGTTTCTGGGAAATGGCATGGAAGGCTATAGAATACACAGGTTTGGGCTACACCCATCCAGTGATGAATTGGTCCCAGCTGTTCTAACAAGGACAATCATACAGATTTTAGTTTAGCTTGCTAGCACCTGTAGACAGCTAGTAGTCTTGTGCAAAATTCCTAAAAGTTCTGTTTAACACTCTTTGTTAAGATTTTCAATAGAAAAGGGATTTTAACGAGATGAAGAGTTCTCTATCAAATTCGGGAGGTGTATTGAGGGTGGTACTAAGACAGGAATGGTTTTGGAAGTTGGTGTAACAGGTGACATAATGTCCAAATATTGTCATTAGATGACAGTATAAAGTTGTAACACCTATGTAGTTTGGGATGCACACTTTGGAAAATATTCCTGTGCATCTGGCTTGTTGTAATAAATGAGTGCTTTTGCTTCCTAATCCTCAAAAAGAGTTTTAAAGAGTTATTTTCTGGCTTTTCAGGCATCAGAAGAAAGGCTGGGAGAGCAGGGACCGTTCAGCCTGGAGAGCAGAAGTCTTGGGGGGATCTCAGCAATATTTATGAACACCTGAAG